TTAAGGACACAGATGGACAGTGGGTCCCTACTCAAATACTCCCGCAATGCAAGAACACTTTGTTCTAACAATTCGACAGTCTGAGATGCTCACCTTCCTGGCACGATCACTGAAGACAACAGGTGCACAAACAAATGTGGTGAAGAAAACTGATGGCACCCGACTACCAAAAGATATAGCATCCGAGATCTTAAAGGCCTAAATATAAACAAGCGACCATCTAACTGAGAAACAACAAACCCACGTGGAAGAAACACACCAGCCTGTCCCTATTCGATCACCAAAGACAAAGCAGGTGTATAATCAAATGCGGTGAAGAAGGCTGATGGTGTCCGGCTGTCAAAATTCATAGAAACTGAGGTCCTATAGGCTGGAAGATAAACAAGTGGCCATCTGAGAAACAACAAAGCCCACATGGAAGAAGCACATGCGCCTGTGAGAACATAAGAGTTGATGGGTTAAGATATCAGGCATCAAACACCGCTCCCCAACCCCCCAAAAAATCATAGCATTGTGAAAGAGGGGGAGTGCAGAGTGGAGACCCATGGCCCATCTGTGGGAAATTGGACATCCCCTTGCAGAAGGATCATGGGAAGGAGACAATCCAGTCAGGGTGCAGTGTAGCAATGATGAAATATACAATTTTCCTTTAGTTTATGAATGGTTCCTCCCCCCCCCACCCCCATCATGATCCCAATTCCAACAAATCCAACTAGACCGGACAATATACAATGGTACAGATAGGAACTGGAAACACAGGGAATGCAGGATAGATCAACCCCTCAGGACCAGTGGTAAGAGTGTCAATACCTGGAGGGTGGAGGGAAAGTGAGGGAGAAAAGGGGAACAGGTTACAAGGACCTACAGATAACCTCCTCCCTGGGGGATGGACAATGGAGAAGTGGGTGAAGGGAGATGTCGGCTGGTATAAGATATGACAAAATAATAATACTTTAGAAATTTATCAAGGGTTCAAGGTGGACGGGGAGTGGGGGGAGAGGGGGGTAATGAGGAGCTGATACCAAGGGCTCAAGGAGAAAGCAAATGTTTTAAGAATGATGATGGCAACATATGTACAAATGTGCTTAACACAATGGATGGATGGATGGATGGATGGATGGATGGATGGATGGATTGTGGTAAAAGCTGAACGAGCACCCAATAAAATGATTTAAAAAAAGAAATCACAGGAGGATTGAATGGGGAGGAATCCAAGAGGAAAACTATAATCCCTACGTCAGAATCTCCTGCTCCAATTAGAAAAATGTGTGGATTTCAAGTTATGGTGTACATTTCTTAAGTTTAATGCATTTAAGGGTATATCCTTCTTACTAAATAGAGAATAATCTAGAAGGCAATAGCCTTTTACACACTCTTCCTTCTTAACCCTTTCAAAACTAATGAACCCATGTAGTGCTATGATGGAGTACTGGACTGTTAACTGCAAGATTGGTGGTTCAAACCCACCAGTCACTCCGGAAAAGAAAGAGGAGGCTCTCTGTTGTGGTAAAGATGTACAGTCTCCAAAACCCTGCACAGAGTTCCTGGGTCAGAACAGACTCAATGGCAATGGGTGTGCAAGTACTTATTGATTGGCTTATTCCTGCTATTGGGTGCCGTGAAATGCGCTTTGATCCCTAGTGACTCGATGTGCACAGGAGGAAACACTGCCCAGCCTGCACCACCTCTGCAATCACGGCAGTGCTGGAGCCCATTGTTGAAGGTCCCGTGTCAATCCATCTTGTGGAAGGTCTAGCTCTTTGTCACGGACTGTCTGCTTTACCAACCATGATATCCCTTTCCAGGGTCCTGTCTGAGCCATGGGTGACAGCTTGCTAGGCTACAGGGCCCACGCATGACGGGGGATGATGAAGCCATCTTATCATGCACTACATCATACTTGGGGAAGCCATTCTGTTTCTTGTAGGGGCCTGAGGCTCCTGGTCTTTTAACTGAAACCTGGGACCCAGGGGAAGAGGAAGAGCAGGACAAGGAATGGCTTGAAGAGTAAGTGCACATCAGCAACGAGGATAGAAGCATCACAATGAATTCACCTGAGTGTAAGCTGCACCCAGACACAAAGACTGGTAGATTCAAGGAAGGAGCCATACACGCTGGGATCTCCCCA